CAGCCAGCTCGCAGCTGGCCCGCCGCCGTCGCCACCCTGCAACCAGCTAGCAGCTACCGCCGCCGCTGGCTCCCACAGCAGCACCAGTTCCTGCTGCCCCTGTAGCAGCTACCGCCGCTGACCCTGCCTCTGTCGCCTCCGTCTTCACGGCCGCAGCTGCCACCAAACCCGCTAGTGTGGCGTCGCCCAGCGTTCTTATTTTGCGCCAGGATGGGGAGGGGCGGACATTCGGTTTCGCCGCCTGGGAGGAGGCAGTTTCTCCTGCAGCTCGCGAGTCAGCGAGTCGACGACGAGTCCCAGGACGCCCATGCCACTGGTGAGCTCCCTCCTGTTCCCTGCCCGGGCGCTATTGCTGCTGACGCGACGTCTGCGCAGCAAGCTGTGCACACTGCTGCTCGTACCGCCTACTTTGTCCGGGCGTTCCGCGATGCCACTGCTCGTGTCCCCATCCTCAGGTGCCTGCTGGTTGACGAACACTCCCACTTTGTGGGTGCCGCGTCAGCCCACGCCCTCTGGCTGGCTATCCTTGCTAGGTACTCCACACTGTCGTCTGCCACTCTTGGTCATCTCCTCCTTTCTTTCTTCCACCCCGACCTGACGTCCTTCACCTCCGTAGCAGACTTAATTGAGCACCTTCGCTCCCTCGACGCAAGCTGGCGTGCGCCCTGTATAGAGGCCCAGCTGGCGCTCGCCCTGCCCCCCCTTTTTGCCACCATCTATTTCTTTGTCACCCACCTCCCTTACGGCCTTGCCCCTGCCCGCGACGCCCTCCTCGCTCGCCACCCCTTTGAGCTCTCCCTTGACCTCTTCTCGAACTCCATGACTGTGATAGAGGACTGCCTCCGTGCCATCGCTGGTTCCACTAGCGCATCGGCAATCCCTATCTTTCAGGCGAGCGCTCCCTCCTCTGTGATAGTCCCTGCCTCCACCTCCGAAGACGAGACTGCAGCGGCTGAATCTGCCCTCAGCCGCTCCTCTTGCAGCAAGGGCAAGGGCAAGGGGGGCAAGGGTCGTGGGGGGTCGGCAGCAGCGGGTGGAGGGGGTGCGGGTGCGGGCGGAGAGGGTGGTCAGTAGGAGTCCGGCACTGTGCAGCAGCAGCAGCCGCAGCAACAGTCGCATCAGCAGCAACAACAGTATCCGCAGCAGTTGCAGCAGCAGCAGCAACTTCCGTGGGGTCTAGCGGGCCCTGGGGGTGGTGGTCGTGGTGGAGGCCAGGGGGGTTGGGGCCCAGGGCAGTCGGTGCCTTGGGGATCGCATGGATTCTCTGTGAGCCAGAGTGCTGGTGGCTCTGGAGGCGCAGTGACCTTCACGTACCAGCTGCTGACTGGCTCGCTGACGGGCCAGGTGTGCGGGCGTGCGGGGCATACTGCCGCTCGCTGCTTCCGCCGTCTGGACAATCCCTACCGCTATCACTTCGGCCCGCAGGTGCAGGTACCCCCCTGGCCTGCCTTTCTTCGTCGTGGGGTTCATATCTTTGATATGGATATGATTTAGATCGATCAGGTTATGTATGCTCTGTATTCTGATGATTCTATTTTAGCTGGTTCTTATTCTCCGATTGTTTGTTGTATAGGAGCCACTGCTGTGTGTAGTCTAGGATACCCTGCTGTGTCAAGCATAGCCTCCCCTGCTGCGTCAGACATAGGATCTGTTAGAGATTCGTCACTAGGCCCCGCCACGTCAGCCCTCTCCTTTGTCCTCGACTCTGGCGCGTCTTGTTGTTTCTTTCGCGTAAGTACTACTCTCACCCCGCTTTCTTCGCATGTCTGCGTCGCACTAGCAGACTCCTTCACCACAGCTTTAACACGTAGCAGCACTACTCTGCAGTGTCCAGCTGTCCTATCCGGCTCCCTCACCGGTCTGCACATCCCCTCGTTTTCCAGGAACCTAATGGGAGTCGGTCACCTCCAGGACCGAGGCATCACCACTACGTTCTGTGGCCGCGAGTGACACGCCGCTTGCACAGACACAGCCACCGGTCGCCACTTAGCCACTTTTGAGTGTGACCTAGGGCCAGGTCTCTTTACGCTGCACATTGAGTCCCCACCGACTGCTGGATCTGCCGAGGTGGCCGCGTCCTACTCTTGACTTTCACTAGCCCACCTGACCCTTCTGTGGCACCACTGCTTAGGTCACCCTGCACTCCCGTGTCTTAGGCACATGTCCCTGTACGGTCTTGTCACTTGCCTCCCTGCGTCGGTCTTAGCCTTGCCTACGTCGGTAGCGCTCCTGTGCACGTCCTGTGTCGAGGGCCGGCATCGCGCCACCCCGCACTCCTCATTTCCTCCTACTACAACGCCGCTACAAACACTGCACATGGACGTCTGGGGCCCTTCCCCGGTCCATGGTGTTAGTCGTGAGCGCTACTTTCTAGTCATCGTTGACGACTTCTCATGCTTTACCAGTGTTCCCGTTGGATCGGAACGCTAGCGTGCCTACCGTTCTCCTCCTAAGGATTCTTACTGTTCGCACCTACCACCGCCTGCCTGTAGGTCGCTTACACTCCGACCAAGGTGGCGAGTTTGCCTCTGGCACTGTAGGACAGTTCTATCGTACGGAGGTCATCCGCCAGACGTACACCCCACCAAACTCCGCATAGCAGAATGGGGTAATTGAGCGATGCATCGGTTTGATCATGGAGGTAGCTCGCACCTCCATGGTCCACGCCGGTGCACCCCATTTTATGTGGCCGTTCGCCGTGCGCTACGCTGCTCACCAGCTTAACCCGTGACCGCGCTCCTAGTGGCCACAGGTTTTGTCGACCCTCCTCCACAGCTGTTCTACCACCCGACACACCACCGCTTCTATCGCTCTCGTGACGGCACTTTCAACAAGACACTCCCCTACTACCTGCGCTTCCCGCACCGCAGTGCTCCTGCGCCTCCTCCTCCTCTCTTCCTCATCCGTGCTCCGCCTGCCGCACCCCTCCCGCCCCGCCCAACCCAGTCTGGTGTCGTCCACTCCACTCAGTTCCCCTCGGTTGAGCCTGTGGAGGAGTCAGCTGACTTTGGGGGCCCAGCTGCAGGAGGCATGCCTACTTTTCTTGTGGCACCTCCCCCAGCCTCGGTACCCCATTCACTTCAGCCGCCTCCCCCCTTGCCTCAGCAGTAGTAGCAACCGCCGCAGCAGACTCAGCGGCCGAAGCAGCAGCAGAAGGGAGCGGTGGGCTCTGGGAGTGCTGGTTCTGGGGGTGCTGGTGTTGGAGGTGTTGGTGTTGGGGGTGTTGGTTTTGGGGGGTGCTGACTCTGGGAGTGCTGGTTCTGTGGGTGGTGCATCCGATGGTGCTAGTCCTGTGCTTGCTGTTTCGGGCAGTAGCGGTGAAAGCTAAGGTGCAGCTGGAGGTCCTGATGAGGTCAGGGAGCAGCAGCAGCAGCAGCCGCAAAAACCAGTGCCACCGCTACAGCAGCGCACTGGCCTCATTGAAGGCCGTGTTACTTAGGAGACACACCTATAGACTTGTGGGAGCTGAGGCGCTATTTGGGCTTGGAGATCTCTCGGGACTGTGCCGCTTGCACGATCACACTCTCCCATTCCCATATGGTGCCGCAGATCCTCCAGAGGTTCAATGTGTAGTTCTCCTCAGAACAACCCACCCCTCTGCCTGTGGATCACAAGCTCTCTGCTCCTGTTCCGGCTGAGCCGGTCGAGGCTAGTGGTCCATACGCAGAGCTGGTGGGATGCCTCGTGTATCTGATGACCTGCACTCGACCAGATCTACCGTACCCTCTCGGTCTCGTGGCTCGCTTTGTTGCGACAGGCAGGCACCGACCAGTCCACTGGTCGGCAGCTAAGAGGGTACTGCGGTATCTGGCGAGTACATCAAGACTGGGGCTTGTGCTAGGAGGATGGGAGCCAATGGAGCTCTCTGGAAACACAGACGCGTCGTGGGCTGATGAACATGCTCAGATCGTCTCAGGGTTACTGATTTAGTCTTGGTGCTGGTGGAATCTCGTAGAGGTCCACCAGGTCGTTGTTTGTAGCTCAGTCCAGTTGTGAGGCATAGATCTACGCTGGGGCCATGGCCGCTCAGGAGCTGCCATGGGGGCAGAGATCTACGCTGGGGCTGATGTTCTTACTCACACACTTAGGTGAGCAGCTTAGGTCTGCCTCGGTCTTGTTTTTTTTACAACTGGGCCATGATCTCTTGTGTCAGGAGGCTCGACTTGAGGGCAGGGCAAAGCACATCCAGCTGCTGTACTTCCTGCTGTGTGAGTTGTAGCAGCGCGGCCAGGCTTGAGTAGTACACCTTAACCAGAGGCCAGTCTAGTAGTGCTGCCCTGGTTTGTTCAAATCTGCCACTACCTAGGCTTGGGGTTGTGTCAACAAACATATATTTCTATCTAGACATATCTAGTTAGTTTAGATATGTTTGTTATAGTCTGCTAGGTCAGTTCTTAGAGGGGACATTATTCTTATACTTGTATCTCCCCTCCCCTCTTCCTACTCACACTATTTCCTGCTACTCTAACAATTTGGACTTGATTCTCCTCTACTGAAGGGCTCCTCATAGGTCCATTGGGTACACTGGGCATATTCAGGGTGCTGTGAGGAAGCGCTTCCATGCGCAACACACTAGTCACATTCTGCAACACGAACATTATTTACAGCATGTGCACACGTCAGGCCTGGGTGTCTTGAATGCTAGCTAAAGAGTAATGAAGAAGGCCGCCATGAAATGACGGCCGGGGTTTAGCCAGGGAAGATTATAGAGAGAGAAGGGGTGTAGACTAGAAGGGAATGAAGTACAAGAAGGGGGTTGTCCCCCCTACAGTAGAATGCAGTTAGTAGCATAACTACCAAGCCTAAAGTTATATAAAATATAACTTAACACACCCCCTAGGCTTGGTAGTCACAAACCCACCCAACACCCACACACCCCCTTATCCCGTACACCCTCATGCTCGTGAGCAGCTGGGTAGAATGCAGTTAGTAGCATAGCTACCAAGCCTAAAGTTATACAAAATATAACTTAACACTGGGCACTGCTAGGCACATGAGGATGAGATGCAAAAAAACCCCTGTTGGAACACACGTTTATTCATCTCGGACGAGTCGGAGGACCCTTGCATGCTTGCAGAAGTCGCTGGTGATTCGGCAGGGCAGAGGGGAGGAGGAGCAGACAAGACGCGGGGTGAAGCGGAAAGCGCAGTGCATGAATCCATGTGGCAGCAGGCCTTGTGGTTGGTTACCTAGCCACATAGCACTTACTATATCAGGCCCCTTTACTAGGGGACGCATGTGGACAAAGACGAGAAGACAAGGGAGCAGCAATAGCAAGAGAGGTATGAAGATTAGAAGGATAAAGGGGGGGGAAGGGGGGGAGGGGGAGGGGGAGGGGGAGGAGGAGGAGGAGGAGGAGGAGGAGGAGGAGGAGGAGGAGGAGGAGGAGGAGGAGGAGGAGGAGGAGGAGGAGGAGGAGGAAGGATGGGAGAGGCAGGAGGATGGCAGGAGAAAAGGTAGAAGCGCAGTTACCTCCATGTTCCATCGCCCACAAGCAGCGTGTCCCCATCGCTGTCTTCATACACAAAGTGCCACCCCGCCAGCAGATCAGTGGCATCACCTGCATCACTTGCACCAGCATCAGAACCACCAGCAGAGCCACCAGCAGAACCACCACCAGCAGCAGCACCAGCACCAGCAGCAGAACCAGCACCAGCAGCAGCACCAGCAGCAGAACCAGCACCAGCAGCATCACTAGCAGCAGCACCACCAGCAGCATCACCAGAAGCAGCACCAGCAGCAGCAGAAGCATCAGCACCTTCCCGTTGACCAGCACCGGTAGCAGCAGCACCGGCAGCAACAGCACCGGCAGTGCCAGCCTTCCCGGGGCTTCCATCGGCTACCATGTCGTGCCCCTGGCCTGCCCCTCCCCGGCCTGCCTTGAGAGCAGGGCCAAACATGGCGGCGATGTGGGCGGAGAGGGAGGGAAAGTCGGAGAAGAGCGAGAGGTAGACGGTGCGCGCGATGAGGGTGCCCTCCTTGAACACCTGGGGGAGAGTGGGACGGTAGAGGGGAGAGGGGGGTTGGGAGTTGAACAAGTCACGTCAAGCAAGTGGTGGTGTGAGAGGTGGACTGAGCAGGCAATGTGGGTGCCCTCTTGGGTTTACTGTGCGGTGATGAGGGAGGGGACGTGGGAGAGTAGGGAGGCGAGCAGGAGAAGTGATGGTGGACTGTGGGGCTATGCCGCTGCCCTCCTGCCATGCCTTCACCGGCATGCCCTTACCTTCACTCTCATCTTCTTTGAGTTGCCGTGTCTTTCCTCTCCTTGCTCCAGCTGTCGCTGCTGCGGATGGTTGTGCTGGTGCTGGTGCTCGCGCTGTGACGACGATCGTGATCGCTGGCTGCCACCTGGCGAGCTCTCCTTGCATGGCGTCCTGACAGCTGGCGAGCTCTCATTGGATGGCTTCCTGCCATCTGGCGAGCCCTCACAGGAAAGCTCCCTGCAATATGGTGAGCCTTCATTGGACGGCTTCCTGGCAGGAGAGTCTGTGCCTTGGCGACCCTCCCCCCCTCCAGGCGCTTCCCCATGCCCTGCCGATGTGCCCTTGCAGTCCCGCCCCGCCCTGCCAGCAGCATCAACTGCGGGGGAAAAGAGTGGAGTAGGTGGACCAGCGGCAGCAGCAGCAGCAGCAGCAGCAGCAGCAGGAAGAGGAGCAGCGGCAGCAAAAGCAGCTCTTTTGAGTGCATCATCTGTCAAAACATCCCCGAGGCCAACACCAAGAGAGAGAAAGAGGGACAGGTCTCTTTGGTTGGAAGATGGCGCATCATCCCTTGCTCTCCTGTCTTCCCTCCCTCCACCTACCTCCCTCCCTCCTTCCTGCCTCGCTTGCTTTCTTTCCCCCCTTGCATGCTCCCCTCCATCCCTCTCCTCCTCCCTCTCCAACTCTCCTGCACCATACACGGCGTTCAGTGCTCTCTTCTCCCTCCGCCCCTCCACCTGCCTCTCCTCTCCCCCCTCTCCCATCTCCGCTCCCCCCTCTCCCCTCTCCTGAGATTTTCCTCCTCCCTGCCGCCCAAGGGCTAGCCAGTCGGCCTGTGAGGAGGCTCCACGTGGCATGCACTCATTGACCGGCCTGTCTGCTGAACCAGCACCCCTATCAGCAGCAGCGGCGGCAGCAGCGGCTGCAGCCGTGTGTTGCAGATTAGGGCAAAAGGAGGGGGGCATACTTTGGGGAGGGCGTGTGTGTGCGGTGGGAGAGGGGAGGGGGGGCTGGGAGGGGAAAGCGGAGGGCCAGGGGGAGGGGGATGGGCCTGGGATGCTTCTAGACGTAGGGGTGAGTAGGTCGCTGCTGAAAGGTGGGCTGCTGGTGGGGTTGTCGTGCATGTGTGCGTGGGACTGGGTCAGTCCTTGTCTGTGTGCATGCTCGTGCGCGTGGGAGTGCGAGTGTGTGTGGGAGTGAGTGTGGCTAAGCGTGCAGCGATCAGGCCCGTCACACTCGTCGGAAGCCTGGTTGCTGCGGAAGGGAGGAGGGGAGCGGAAGGTCTGGGAGGAGGGGGAAGGGAGGGAGGAGGAGGGGAAGTGCGGAGTGTGGTGGTGGCGGGAGGAGAAGGGGGCGAGCTCAGTAGTGGAGGCGGATGTGTGGAGGGAGGAGGGGATGGGGAGGGAGGAGGAGGGCGGCACTTCAGGGGGGGGGGAGATGTCCCACGGGGAGATGAAGGAGGGCTTGAACAGCGTGGGGTCAGAGTCGGACCACGACACCTGCGCAAGGTGGGAATGGGGAGGGGGGAATGTGGAGACGGGAGAAAGTGGAGAAGGGGGGGAATTGGGGGGAATGTGGACAGCCGTGAAAGATAGAGACTGCCGGCACATCGGTCGACTGAGCGATAGTGCGCTGGCGAGTCTCGATCTCGGTCAGGGCGGTGACAAAGGCTAGCAGGGTGAGATCACCCAAGTGATGGCTACGGATGTGGTCGCGTGCACTAGCAAGGCGGTCAGGCAGGCGCATGGCGATAAAGGTTATGCAGAAGGGGGGAGGGAGTGCAGCGAGCTGGGCAGCAATGCTAGCAGTGCGGTAGCGAGACTCTAGGGCACGCAGGTGTCACAGGATCGAATGACTCGAGGAAAGATTGCACTATCGATCAGTACAAGGCGCTTTTATACTTCCAAAGTACATCAGGTAACCAGGTTTTATCCTATCCAAAGGGAATAGACCCTTCTAGAATATAGAATCACACTGCGTATAGCCACGCGAGGCTATTGGCTTTAAGGGATTACGACAGGATTACGCTAGATAGAGCGCACCAGTACATCCCGAGCCTGGTCGGTGATATAATGAAAATAACAGGATAAACCAAAGGATAATGGAAAAGGAGAAATACTAAACCAAATGAGATGAGATAAAAAGAGAAATGAAAGAGGAAGGAAATAAGGAAAGGCCAAGTGGTGTAAAGAGGTCGTACTCTCACACTTCGCCCCCTCAAAGCTGGGTGGTAGAAGTAACACCCTGCTTGACAAGGTAGTCATGCAGAGAACGACGGGATACCCATGTCGAACTCAGGTACCCAGCTGTCCTCAGAAGGATCATCACCCTTCCAACACATGAGAAGCTCCACGGAGCCATTCCGACGACGGCGGTGTGCAAGCACGGACTCGACCTCGTACTCGCGTTCATTCTGGACGAGGACAGGCGGCGGCGGTGGCGGTTGGCGTCCGACGAAGATCGTGTTTGGATCCTGATAGGGCTTCAGAAGTTGGACATGGAAGGCGTTGTGAATCTTCCAGATAGCTGGCAGGCGTATGCGGAAGGTAAGAGGAGTGACATGTGCGTCAACGAGAAAAGGCCCGCAGAAGCGAGGTCGCAGTTTGGATGGGAGATGGCTGATGTCAAGATTGCGGGTGTCAAGGAGCACCTGGTCTCCCACGTGATGGTGTGGTCGTTGCGATGGCGATCAGCCTGGCGCTTTTGTTGCTGCTGAATATCAAGGAGGCGCTTGTGGGTCTGATCCCAAAGCTGATGCATGGTTGTGATGAAATCATGTGCAGGTTGGACTGTAGCGGATGATGTCGGTTTCTGTGGTGTGAGTGGGTGGCGTCCGTAGCAGAGGAAGAACGACGTCTGTCCAGTCGCGGCATGTGTAGCGTTGTTGTAACCAAACTCTACAACAGGCAGGTGCAAGTCCCATTTGGAGATCTTGTCCTTGCAGGCTGCTCGGAGGAGGTGCTCGACAATCTGGTTGAGGCGCTTGGTCTCTCTGTCTGTCTGCGGATGATAGGCGGATGACATGGCGAGTTTGGTCCCGAGCAGAGACATGAGTTCCTTCCAGAACTTGCTGGTGAACTTGGGGTCTCGGTCGGAGATAAGTGTGGTTGGAATGCCATGCTGTGAGATGATGTATCGAACGAATAGTTGTGCTGTCTCCTCGGTGCGTGCTGTCGTGTGTGTCAGATGAAGTGTCCCAATTTGGAGAACTTGTCGATGACGACAAGGATTGCATCATGACCGCAGGCGGTAGGTGGTAACCCGGTGATGAATTCCAGGCTAACCACTTGCCATGGTTGTTCTGGGATAGGAAGAGGCTGTAGCAGTCCCGCTTTCCTTTGTTTGTTGCTCTTCATCCTCTGACATGTATCACACGAGGTGACAAATTTCTGAACATCCTCTGCCAAGTGGGGCCAGTACTAGTGTTTTGCGATACGGATCAGCGTCTTGTTGCTACCGAAGTGTCCGGCGTAGAGGACGTCGTGGTATTCTTCGAGTAGTAACTGGCGCAAAGGAGGGTAATAGGGTACCCAGATTTTTGTTGATCCTTTCCGATACGCGATGTCACTGTCCCACTGTAGCAGATGTCGCTTTTCTGCCAAGGGAATTTCGAGGTCGATGGCATACCCGTCTGTGAAGAGTCCCTTGAGGAGTGGACTCATCCCTTCGATCTGAATAGCGGCAACGTGTGCAGGCCGGCTGAGAGCGTCTGCTTTGTTCTTGTGGCCAGGCATGTACACGATGTCGTAGTGGAAGTGTGTCTCGAGGAAGTCAATCCACCGGACCTGCCGCCTGGAAAGGTTGGGTTGTGTCTTCAAGTATTTCAGGCTGCAGTGGTCGGTGTAGACGGTTGTTCTGCGTCCTTCGAGATAACATCTCCACGCTTTGAAGGCGATGACAATGGCAAGGGCCTCTTTGTCGTGTATCGGGTAGTTAAGTTCTGCCCCGTGTAGTTTCTTGCTCAGATAGGTGAATGGTTGCAGTCCATTCCCCTGGTCTTGCATCAAGACTGCTCCCACTGCCTAGTCGCTGGCGTCAGCTTCGATGACGTAGTCGCGTTCGGGATCTGGCAAGATGAGTACTGGTGCGGACGTGAGTGCTTGTTTCAGCAGCTCCACGGCTTCCTAGTGCTTTGGCTCCTATTTGTAGGGCGTGTTCTTCTTCAGCAGATTCGTGCGTGGTGCTCCGAATTTCGCGTACTGTGACACGAACATGTTGTAATAATTAACAAAGCCTAGGAACTGCTACAACTCCTTCACGTTCTCGGGGGTCTTCTACATACGTACGGCTTCGATTTTCTTGCGGTCGACGTGAACTCCTTGAGTGCTCACCATGTGTCTTAGGAATTGGACCTTCTCAAGGGCAAATTCTCTCTTGGACAATTTGACGTAGAACCGTTCCCGCCGAAGAATTTCGAAGACGCGTCGTAGGTGTTCGACGTGCTGCTTCATGTAGCGCAAGTAGATGAGGATGTCGTCCAGGTACACCACCACGCACTCGTCCAAAAGTGGGCGTAGAATGTGGTTCATTTCAGCTTGGAATGTTGCCGGTGCGTTGGTGAGTCCGAACGGCATTACCAAATACTCGTACGATCCGTACCGAGTTCGGAAAGTAGTTTTGTGTATGGAGTTGTCCGACATTCGTATCTGCCAGTATCCGAACCGCATATCCAGTTTGGAAAATACCGTAGCTCCCCGAAGCTGGTCAAGCAGGTCATCGATTCGTGGTATCGGGTACTTGTTCTTGATGGTCTGCTTGTTGAGAGCTTGGTAGTCGATGCACATGCGTAGGCTTCCGTCCGGTTTTGGTGTGAAGAGCACTAGGGCACCGTATGGTGAAGTAGATGGTCGGATGAGTCCTTTGGCTAAGAGATACTCGATCTGTTTTTTCATGTCGATAAGCTCCGTAGGGCTGAGCCGATATGGTGCTTGGAAGGTCGGCTTCGAACCCGGTTCCTCCACGATCTCGTATTGATGTGTTCGGTATGGCGGTAGCACGTTTGGAAGATCGTCAGGAAGAATGTCTTGGAACACCCTCAACAATTCCTTGATTTTTCTTAGATGTTCCGAGGTCTTCTCTCCGTCGTTCTCCACCTCTCTTGCTATCGCTAGGAACCCGGTGTCGGTTCGTTTCACGTCCTTCTCGAATCGTACGAGTGTCTCCACTGGGATACCTCCTGTATCGTCCCAGTTGGGTAGTTGGACTCTCCTTCCATTGTTGTAGATGCTTGCGGTGTGGTTCACCCAGTTGATCTCGGGGTTGAATCGTTTTAGGAAGTCTCGTCCGAAGATCAAGTCAAGCCCTTTGATGTTGGTGATGGGGAGTGCAGGTCTCCAGCGCAGTGGCCCGATTTGTAGGTGTAGCACTGCTTCGCCGTGTACTGGTAACTTGCTGCCGTCCACCATCGTTGCAGAGAATCCTGAAGGCTTGTACTCTTCCCGAAGTCGGTCGATGGTTGCCTTATCGCAGACGGTGTGCGATGCTCCGCTGTCCACGAGTGCTTGGAGGCGTCGTCCTTTGCAGATGACCTCGAGCATGAGGGGCAGGCGTTGCTCGGAGTACCCAAAGATAGTTTCATTGATTGGGTCATAGGGTACATCCCAATATTCCGTACACACATTTTCGTTGCTATCTACTCCTGGGCTGGCAGCTGGCCGAGGCTGCTTGGAGAACAACTCTTCTCCAGGGCCCGGAGTTTCCTTGACGACTGTGCGCGTCCTTGATGCCGAAGTTGCTGAACTGGATGTATACGGAGCAGGATTTCGGGGTTTCTGCAGCTTTTTGTATACCCCCAGCTTCCTCTTGAGCTGCTTCAGCTCCACCGACGTCTTCCCTGGGGAACGGGTAGTTGTTGTGGGCTGGTGTCGGGAGAGGAAGTTGACTCCGTGGAAAGGTCGGCTTCTTTCCACACTCCTTAATTTTTTCCCCAAGTTGTCCGGTATCGGTATAATCTCCACAGCTGTCTGCTTCTTTTGGAATCCTTTCCAAATTTTCTCCAAGGCTCTAGCCCCTCGAGAATCATAAGTTTTTCATTAAAGCATCTTTATAGGATAGTTTTAACGAATCCTTGTAATTTCTTGGGTCTTCAAGGAGTTTCCCCGTCTCGGCAAAGTCTTTTTTCGCGGAGTCGTATTTTTTCTCGGCAATTTTCCCTGGCGAAGACTGGTCGTGGGGTGGAGATTTTCCCCCATCATTTCCTCCTTCTCGCGTTGAATCAGCTTCGTCGAAGTTGATTTTTCCGGAATCCCGCGGCCGCTTCCGGATCTTTTTATTTGCGCCAGCTAGATCCGCAATCACTGGCGACTCCCATTTTTTGTCTTCTGATTGGCCGAAGGAATTCCGCCATTGTTGCGTGCCCGATACTCTGCGTGTGCGGCTTTCATTTTGTTGCAGTCGAAGATTCGATGACCCGGCACCCCGCAAAAATCACACGTGTAGTTGGTGTTTTTTGGACGTGGCCGCCCCTCGAATCTGT